AACTTATCTGGTACATTTCATTCCCTACAAGACCTAGGTGTGCTGGCTGGGGTTCATTTTTTACCCAGGTGACTTCCTAAATCAAGGTCAACAGGAGATTGACTTTTATTTCTTATTTCATCCTTTCACAACAAGATGAAATATCAACATTCCAACGGCCAAAAACGGTTGGCCGTTGCTAAATTTTACTCGATGTTATTTTGGGGGTGCTTATAGAGAAACGCGTAATTGCCCATTGCCAGAAACCTCTCCGGTGCTTTAAAGCTGCCGCTTCCCGTGAGCACCTGAACGCAGCGCGGGAGCATCCGGCGGTGTAGTGAGGAGGAGGAAGGAGGAGGAGGAGGGATGAGAGGAAAGAGAGGGACAGGAAGAAGAGGAAGCATATCGATGGTAAGCATGAAGAATATTCCCGGACTCTGAGCTGATCGACGGGGAAAACATCTTCCCTCGCTCGTTAAGAGGCCGACAGGAAGCGGAGGGAGACAACGGACAGGATGGAGGGGGAGACGCAGTTCCTTTGTGGGGTGGTGGAAGGTGAGAGCGGCCGACTTCATCGATGACCTCCTATAAATCATGTGATATTTTTTATATTATTCCTATGCTCAGCGTATTGATTTTGAACAGAGAATAGTGTGACCTGGAAGAAAAAACGATCGTTTGCAGCTACTGTAAAATGGGCGTGGGAGTGTTGATAAATATATTTATGAAGGAAGAATAAGCTTGGATGAAAAGGTCTGTGGCAAATGATGGTGTGGGCATCAGCAGAGTGAAGTGGAGATCAAAAAGGCAGGCAGCGGACAGCATCAGATCTCTTTGAACTATGCCACTGTAGCTGCTGGAAATAAAGACAGATGTGCTGATGAATGAAACAGAAATGATGGAAGGAACACAAATGACGTGATGGAGCTGGAAATGAAGAGGCTGGTGATAAGAGAATGAAATGAAGTTTGAATGACACGACAATAGCAGATGATGACAGAGATGGTGTGTGGGGGGAGGAGGAGGAAGGCTGCTGTTATGGTGGGCAGTTAATTATCACGATGATGATGAGGATGATGACAAAGAAGGTGAAGAGGACACACGACTCAACAGATCATCTTAAATCTGTTGAGTACATTTTTGATGAAGAGGAGAATTATGATAATAATGTTGAAAAAAGTAATGTAGAATTACAATTATTATTGTTTATCGTGCCACAGATTACCGCAATACAGCAGCATACAAAGTAATTTAAAAAGTAAATCCTGGTTAATTATGATGTTGCATACTTCCTCCATTTTTAGACACGAACCAAAATAGTTGAATAATCCAGGCATGTAAGATGTAAGCAAAATGAGAGACGGTAGGGGAATTCACAGCGTTCAACTACGTCTGGACAGATAAGACAAAATCATTTTAGATAAAATAAAAACAAGACACAATGGCTTGTTTTAGAGTAACTGGTCAGGAAATTAGTAGCAAGATGAATCAAAATTTTAGGCATCTGGTGTCTTAAGGTGAGGGAGACTTCATTAGGGTAGACAAAGTGTTTGCACTGTGTTGCATGAGCTTTAGTAAAATTATTGGGACATTTCTGCCATATTTAACAACAATGTCCCACTGGCACACAGGTGCATTGTGTTTGAAAGTTGCATGTCCAAAAAATTCTGTGAAATTATGACTTAGTTGGTGATCAAATTACGTCAACCTAGCATAAAAAGCATAAAAATCATTCTAGTGTGCTAATTACATAAAGTGTTGTATTTTACTCTTTTCATGTCTTTAACGTTTTGTGTCATTACATTCGTGTCTAACATCAAATTTCTAGAGATGGGAAATGCTCTCACTTTTTTTTTTATAGCTCATCAGGATTATGTTTATACCAAACACTTAAAAAGGTTTTTCAAAATGAATTATTTCTCAAGAAGGTTTATTTTTGACATGCTGGTCAATATTGGAAGCAAAACCCAAAACGTTAGACAAGAGAAACAATGATAGAGTAACCAAAATAGTAATCCAACTTTGCACAACAGCTCATTTAAATTGCAGTTATTGTTCTGCACCAGTAGTAAAAAATGTATAATCTCAATTTTGATGTGATATGCAGGAAACCAAATAAAGTCATCAGTAAATAACTAGATCGCTCTCTTACCCTTGTTGGCGTTCTGTTTGTTAAATAATACATCTTTGGCAGTTTTTCTTTTATTTTTAAGTGTCTATCATTCCAGCTGCATACTGTATCATTTAATCCGTTCCAGTTCAGCATTCACAACAGACATCATCTTAAATCTTCTTTGTTCCAGTGCAGTCCAGCAGCTAATTGTTTGTTAGATTCTTTACTTCCTCTAACCCAGTTCTCCTCAAACCGTTCAGAAGGTTCCTCATGAGGTCATTAGTCTGGCTTTGAAGCGAAGACTCCACTTGCATCTAGAAACGTCAAACATCGCACACATGCACACCAAAGCAATAAAGAAGAAACTCCCCAATGGCTCGCAGAAGGAAGTGGTCTGGACTGCATTTTATTCACTTGTCACTCTGACCCACTTACTGTACTTGCACTCATACACACACTGCAGACTTATTCAGTAACATACAAGTCTGGTAGGGGCACTGGGGATGCTCCCATTTCTATTAATAGAAAATGTGATAGAGTGTGTGCCTGCAGATAAATTAGGCCCAAACCAAATGCAGTGGGGATACGGCCAAGCAGGCGCTGGAAGGTCTCAGATTGTTTTGCCTTACTTTACGTTTTGCATTGTAGCTGCAGCAGCCAGTAATGAGCATTAATGAAACTGAGCTGCTCTTTGTTTATTTGGGAAATTTAGGAGATCTCTCCTGTGGACTCTGATGCAAATTTTCATTCTAGTGATTTTCCAGCATAAAAACCAATTTGTGTGAATCCTCTATTTTAATTCACATACAGCGTCATGAAGGAAGAATGTGCTAGAAATGTGTTCGAGGTAATAGTTTTTATTTCAGCAGAAGATCCTCTTTAATCTTTGTAACATTTTAAAACAAAAAAAATGCATGTAATAAGATTTATCTTTAATATTAATATTAATTTTCAAGCTTCGCTAAAATTCTGGCCCATTCCCTCTGAGAGAACTTGTGAATTAAATTTGTAGGCCACCTAGATTGCATGAACCCGTTTAACTCTGCCCACATATTTTTCTTGATATTGAGATCAGGACTTTGTGATGGTCACTCCAGCACATCGATCTTGTTGTTCTTAAGGGCATTTGCATATTCAACTCGCTTCAAAATTTCCCTAAAGTCTATGATGGCAGCAAAAGTTTGGATGTTTTGATGTGTAAGCTTCTGCCTAATCTTGGACAGTACGGCCAGACACTTTAGTTTTACTTTCTGGTCACCATAGATCCAAAAATTAAGACTTTTGTCCTCGTTTGCATTTCCAAATTGTAATTGGGCTTTTTTTTTTTATGTCTATCATAGATAAAGTCCTCGTTGCTAAGTGATCTTCAGTTCATGTCAATGGCAGAATCAGTTCATTGTGGATAAGGCTGTGAAATATGAAGATGAAACAGTTTAGAAGTGGTGGATTCCAAACAACCCGATCTGAGCCAGTTTTAGTTATCGTGGTCACTTAGTCAAATATGGAGCAATGCAGGCCTGGGCTAAGTTAACACAACATGGTTGGGTCACTCAGCAAAATGAGTTGGTTTTCAATACAAAATATGGGCTAACATAACTAATTTCTAATGTTACCAATGAGCAGTTAAGCACAGCAGTGGTTTTGTGCGTCTGTGCTCATTATGTGTTTGTTTTTCCTTTAGGTTTCTACGGTCGACCCTGGTCTATGGATCAGAGGAAAGTTCTCTTCCAGTGGTAAGAACATTCCTCAGTCTGCTTGTGGCCTGTTGACTATTTTCTCTAGACATTTCAAACTGCTGCGTTTCAACCGTCTGCGTGACAGCATGTATTTAAACCATGTTTGAATTTCAGTCTGGACTTTGACTGGGCCATGCTAATAATACATTTTGCTCCAAACCTCAAGGGTCGAACTCCAGCCCTCAATGGCTGCTATTTTCTGCTACATCCCTCGTCCGACACACAATGGGGAACAAGACAGGTTTAGCCCTCCAATTTAATTTGAGTCACTGCCAAGGAAAGTAACTGCGTTCCCTGTTGAGTTGCAAAACATTTCTTTCATTAGCAGTTTCCTCAGAACGAGAACGAAGCTGTGCATGACTCAGCTCCCTACGTGTTTAAGCATCGGCGATCTATTCATGTAAGGAGAAACAACCTCATACGTAAAAACGATGAGGAGAGACGTGCCTCAAGCATGCTGTAAATTCATGCGCTAATGAAAGACGAGGGATTTTCATGCTCTCTCATTACCCTCGTGTGTTCTGTGTAGTTTGAAGGGAACCAATTAATTCTTCGCGCCTCACTGATCCTACCTTTAAGATTAAATCTTAAATCCTTGCTGAAAGCTTGGACACAGTTTTGTAGCTTGGTATCTAATAATAGCCTGGAGAGTGTACCTCTGCTTCCCTAAGCAAAAAATAATTAGTCCATTGTTTGGTTCTGTTTGAAGTTTGTCCTTATAGCGCACAGCAGGCAGCTGGGATTAAGTCTGAAGAATTCTGCCTTGCAGATTTTACATTTAAAATGTGTCTCAAGTTTGCACAACTTTGCTAAACAGTCACTTTGTTGTGAAGATGCTGCGCCAACAGCCGAGTGTGCGTGTTCCAGATTTATTAATAGAGACGTTTCATTTGGGGTGCAGAAACAGTCGCTTTGTGGTTTCTAGCTTTGGCAGAGTGGTGCTGCAGATTCATACCCAATACGTGTGTTCGTCTCATTGCATGTTGGTATGTAGGTTGGCACTCTGTGGAGGCGACTTACTGTACGTGCCATCTGTCCAGGAAGTGAAAGATGAGATCACTTCCCTTCCATAAATGAGCAGGAGGAACACAAACATGTCGAAGTGTATGAATGGGCACTGATGCAGATTCAGTTTTATTTCTAGTACTATTCTCTATTTATAATTCAGGAGCTTGTGTCCTATAAATGACGCAGCCTTGGGATCGCTCTGTAGAGACAGTTAATCTGCTTTTATTACGATTTTTTTCAGCTCTATCTTTTTCTGCTCCTACTGTCCTCCCTCTCGGTGCGAAACTTCGAGTTATATCTGACAAAGAGAAGCAAAGCTTGGAGAAGATGGATGTGCATAAAACATGTTTTGAAAAAGCTAAGTAAAGGTTGTCACTAAGTGATAAATGTTGTAGCAAACTGGTTTTAGGGTCTGCAAGTCAAAGCAAAGATGCAGCAAAATCGGCTTGAAATAGGAATCGCATGATTTTTAGTTTCATCATCTCTGACAGGTTGGTAAGAATCGCAAAAAAGAAACATAATTTCCATTATCAGTTATTACACCAATGCTGCCAGGTCATTTTGACTACAACATTTTTTGATGTGGGTACTGCTAGAGAGGGAAGAAGTTAGTTTTGATTCCACTATAAACAGTCATGAGGAAAAAAAAAACAAAACTTGTACCTTTGACTTCTGAAGAAGCTCATTTTTATGCATCTGAAAATGTGGATTTTCAATTTCAAAGTAGACAGCACAGTAAATAATGTGGATGAAAAATCAATTATGAGTCTCCCAAAGGGCTTATCTAAACAGAATTTTAAACAATCTGCTCCACTATCAGGAGGATAATCTACAAACATGCCTCAGTCAAGAGGAGGCCACGAGATGCTAGAATAAATCTCCGAAAGCCCAAAATGTCACTGCAGCACCTACAGCAGCCTCTTGGTACTGCAGACATGACATTTCATGCTTGTACAAGCAGAAAAAGTCTGCACAAGTTTAACTTTTGTCGAAGTTGTGCAAAAAGGAAACCTTTGCTCTGTGAGAAAAACGTAAAAACAAAGTACAATTTGCTAGATTTAAAGCAAGCTCACGTGTTTTTCACATAACGGTCTAAAACTGGATCGTTAAGATCACTGCACAGGAGGCGAGTTTTGGTGTGAACCTACTAAAGCAATGGAGGAAAGTAACTTCATTCCAACTGTGAATCATGGAGGTGGAGGTGTCTGTGTCTGAGGAGCCTTTGCTTTTCAAGGACCTGATGTAAGCACATATTTAAAAGGAAGCTAATTTCTTTGACAAGTCTGTTCATTTCAGGGAATAACCAGACATAAAATTCTCACTGGTGCGTCTGTAAATGACTGATGTTTGTCAACCTCTCGAAATGATTTAGATGACCTCTCTTTTGTCTTTCCTTGTGCAACATGTTTACACCTTTCTCCATCTCCCTCAGGATGCAGCTGTGGGGGTTGAACACCTACCTGTACGGCCCCAAAGACGATCTGAAGCACAGACTGCTGTGGAGGGAAGTCTATTCTCCCGAAGAGGAAGGTTTGTACATTCACTCTATCCCTTTAAGACTAATCACACGTAGTTCCTTCTCTACCAATTTAGCATACAGTTCTCACCCCAACCATCATTCATACCTATGACTTGTTCCTCTTCCTCTCACAGCTCAGTTGCGTACTCTTATAGTGGAAGCTCAGTCCCGGGGTCTGAGGTTTGTTTACGCTCTCTCCCCTGGTCAGGACATCGTCTTCTCTTCTTCCTGCGACTTGACGCTGCTCAAACGGAAGCTGAAACAGGCACGTTACTCTCTCTAACATATATCAGGAGCACACCTGCGTGTGTTGCGTCCCGCTTCCTGATCCTCCTTTGTTTCTCTCTGGCAGGTGTCAGACCTGGGGTGCCAGGCGTTCGCCATCCTCTTTGACGACATCGATCACTCCATGTGCCAGGCCGACAGCGAGGCCTTCACTTCATTTGCCCACGCTCAGGTCACAGTCACTAACGAGATTTACCGCTTCTTGGGGGAGCCGCCTGTCTTCCTTTTCTGCCCGACAGGTAAGACCGAAGTCTGCATAAAACTCTGCCATGCAGGTTTTGTTGAATGAAACATTATTTCCTCTTTCTTTTATGCTTAGAGTATTGCGGTTCTCTCTGCTCTCCAAGTGTGTCAAAATCTCCCTACCTGCAAACAGTCGGAGAGGACCTACTACCAAACATAACAGTGATATGGACAGGTAAGATAAAAATCAATGAAAACGCTCTTAAAAGTTGCATAATCTGTCTTCCTTCTAGAATTTAGAAATACACCTGACGTGTTCTTTGTTCGAAATGCATCTTGCCTAATAGATGTGCTAATAAAAGCACATCTCAGCACGCACGCATGCAAATTAGATTTTGCACAAACCCACTCAGCCTCCTCCACACACCATGGAACCATTTAGGTGCACATGGAAGTACAATAGAAGTGCAGGATCCATCGCCCACTCGCTTCTAGATCACTTCTCCAGTTTTGGTGTTCCTCTCTGGGTTTCAGCACCAGGAGCTAAAAAAGATTCCTGACATATCACATTGTTATTGTGTCATTGCTATTATTTATGCTCAAGAAAACATCTGACTTGCTTTGTTTACTGAGCCCACAGGCATCTTGCTGACAAAACTGCTACGTATCCAGGCGTGTGTGCTTCTAAGTGACGTTTGTTTGGATTGTTCAATCGTTGCCAAAGGCACGAGGAAGTTAAGTCATGCAGCTTCAAGGATTAAGGAGTTTCATTTCTGACCGTTAAACAGATCTAGCATTGTTTACCGTGATATCGTTCATCACAATCTGTAAACTCTCTTGATTTTAAACACTTGGAAATTAGCGGAGGCTGTGAAATACAGTTCTAGTGAGTTGTTGTGGAAGAGAAAAGCTTCCCGGAGGATTTTCCGCTAAAAGACACCCAGCTGACCCGTCTGCATAAAATATGCATCAGAGCTGCTGAAGAAAATATGCAAAGTTGCTGTTTTGCGAACAAGCAATTATCTCCTGCTTCCCTTGAGGAAACGGCTTTCTCCCACAACAGATTTATTTAAAAAAAAAAACATTTTTGGCATTTCAGTATCCTAAAACAAGCACTTTATGTTTACACAAAGAATAACCTAATTTAGGTTATTTTTCTGACCCAGTCCAGAGTCAGTTATGGACTGATGCCACCCTGTGTTGGTTATGGGTTTGACTCAGCATATTGGGTTACAGCGGAGTCCAGATGTCCAATTTATTGCCCGATCAGATGAAACCGTCTGCTCCGGAGGAAAGATGAGGCACTTTGTCTAGTCAGAGATCAGTTGAAGAGAGATATTTTTAACCAGCTTGTATTTTATTTTAGTCCCTCAAGTAGTTCAGACAGTTTAAGGAAATTAGTGTTCTGGAAAGAGCCACGAAGCTGTGTGTCAGCAAATAATAGGAGATATAACATTTATTAATGAGCCTTTCAAAGATGTGTGCATAGCAACAGAAATTACTAAAGTAAGTCATTCTCCAGGGTGGTGATGAAAAATCCCCTTAGCCTATATATGGTCAAATAAATTATGTTTTTGTTTAAATTAAATATTTCCACAATTGGATCCGAGTAACAAAATTCTTCTTCAGTCAAAGAAGTCAAATTCTTCTTTGACTGAAGAATCGCCATACTTTTTATGGAGTACCTGCAACAAACTGCTTCATGCTATGCAAATACTCTGTCACAGTATTCAGAATGAGGGTTTGAGTACATTTATTACAGATGATTTTATTTTTATGCACATTTTATGTGTGAATAAAATGTCACATATCTCAGTCGACTTGACTGATATTTTAGACAAAGTGTGAGTGTTGAGCACTAATAGCACAACTTGCACCAGGTACTTTGCAGCTAAGATGCTAGATGTTTTAAGTAAATAAGCTTCCCCCCTAAATTTACTAAAGCTACTTATGCAATGCACTTACATTAACAATATTATAAAGCATACATTTCCTATATTACCATTTTAATTCAACACCTGGTAGTTTTGCATGTAACCCAGCAAACTGAGTTAATTTTTGACTGAACATTTAGTAAATAGATCAACTTCTGTACCAACATCACTGACTTCTGTTGCGTCTGTAAGTGAACCGGCTGAGTTTTTTTTGTGTGCAGATGTTTTTCATCTGTTTACCTAAAAATCCAAAATTTAAAATGGACTCTCCTAACATTAATTTAGAGAAAGAAGTGAATCGAATGTGACCAGTTTTATTCCTCAGATGTTTTCATCCATCTCTGTGTCCCACAGGCAGCAAAGTTATCTCCAGGAAACTGTCCTTAGACTGCCTTGCCGAGTTGGAGTGTGTCCTCCAGAGGCCCCCGCTGATCTGGGACAACCTGCACGCCAACGACTATGATACCCGACGTCTCTTCCTGGGGCCTTTCAAGGGTCGCGACCCTCAGCTAAAAAAACACCTGAGGGGTCTGCTGCTCAATCCCAACTGCGAATTCGAAGCCAATTACATCCCGCTGCATACTCTGGGAAGCTGGTTCAGAGCTGAAAAAGATTACGTGAAAGGTGAGGGTAGATTTCATTTTGTTTATGTCAACATTAGCTCTGCCAGATTGCATTGATAAAACAATCACTGCTTTTACTTCTTGTGGAAATGTCTAATCATCTAATATTCTATTATTCCTTGGGTCACTTTGACCAACAGGCACAAATAAAGCCCCGTCCACATGGACATGAGTTTAGGTGCAACTGCAAAAGATTTTTGCCGTTTATCCACATGCATTCTGCATCCTGAGAAACCAGAAATGATTATTTATGAAACCAAATTGCAGAATGGATACATTTTATAATGGCGGTTTCATGTTTCAGTGTGACCACGCAAGCCGAGTCTTTTTTATTAAACGATGACATCGTAGTGCTCTCTCTCTCTCTCTCTCTCTCTCTCTCTCTCTCTCTCTCCCCCTCCCCCCATCTATATTTGAGTTTTTATCCTCTTGCATGACTGCATGAAATGTTAAAAACGAATATAAGAGATATGAGATGGTTGTAAGTCTGTTTAGCGCAATTTATTATTCAGAATCCTATTGCAACTGTAAAGTTTTATTACGCAATTTAAATTGACAATAGAAAAAAAATAAAAAGCCAGGAAGGAAGAGAGGGAACAGGAGGAGTCGTAAAAAACCAAGGCAGTTGAGAAGCACTGAAGCGTGTGAAGTTCTGCTCTCTGTGGGCTGTGTGGAGGCGGTGCAGGGTGATAATGAGAGAAAACCAGGAGAGAGTCAGGTCCCTTTGTGTGGAGAAAATGAGGTGGATTCTGGTGCAATCTATTCCTTTAAAAGGGATAAAAAAAATTATAAACACCTGGAGTCGTAATACTGAATGAAAAGGAAATTCTAGAGTGAAGGTTTGCTGATAATCTGTGGCTGGACGTTTCAGAGTTTCCAGGCACAATGTGCTCCATAAATGAAGGTGATTATGTTAATCAATGTTAAAGCAAGCTCAAGGTAACTTTGTTCATTCAGTAAATAGCATACATTTGTAACTCAATGTGTTAAAATATGACACTAAGATTATAAACATAAGAATAAAACATTTATGTAGAGATTTAAAAAAAATACTCTAGTGACGTGTTAATTTAAGAGTAGACAGCTTAATGAAAGCTTCCATTAAGAGTTTAAAATACACAATAACAGGGGACCAATAAGTGGTCCTTGTGGAACGCCATGAGCAACATTACTTTCATCTGATTCCGAATCTTTACTGGAAACAGCAGAAAACTGATTATCACAGTTTGATTAAAGTACCTCTTAAGCTCATCTGGTTTCAGTAACAGAAATAGAAATGATGACTTTTTGCCCTAATTTTCAGTTCATTTCATAAAAGTCACGTTATGTGTTTCAGACGAGGAGTGTGAATACTGTCCAGAGAGAGCTTTAACTGCTGCACTTCATGACTGGATGGAAGAACTTAATCAGCCTCTGCAAGCAGGTAAAGATTATATAAACCAAAGCGCCACTGTAATAAGTCTGATACCAAATAAGTCACATTTTACCAAATCTGAACTCTGAAAGTTCTCACACTGTAGCTTGAACCAACATTTCAGGTTGGCAGAGCACAAGAGCAGACCACCGGGCCTCCGTCTCCTCATCGCGTACCAAAGCTTCTGACAGCTCCGACTGTCCCTCCACCTTCAGAGCCACGCACGCTGTGGCCAAACTCCCCGTCTTCCCACTCAACTCCAGCTCTCCACCCTCATCCCCTCCTATGGGCAAAGCGGAGAGGGAGGGGCGAGAAGGGGACAAAAAGAGGCCACACCAATCAAGTCAGCAACTTCCGGGATCGAGGTCGGGTGCGCCTGCGGGCGGGGGCCGGGCGCAGCGGGCGGCGGGTCGCGGGCTCTGCGGCGGGAAGGGCCTGCTGAGCGAGGCCCAGGTGCGGCTGCTCGTCGGTCTCCATTATCTCCCCCATGAGCACGGCCCTTCGGCGCAGAAGCTGCTGCAGGACCTGACCTGGCTAAAGTCAAACTGCCACCTGGTCAGTGCGAACAGCAAGAAGACGCAGCCTCAGAAGGTCTTCCTTCCTTTCTTTCTTTCGTCGAAAACGATTTCCTACATGATCATGGTTAAATATCTGATGGCTTGTTTCTGTCCTCAGGTTGATGAGTGGCGTGGGCGGGCCTCCAGGTTCCTGTCTCTGTGCGAAGACATAGCCCAGCTCCACTGCAGCGTAGTGGGCGGGGCTAACAGGTCCGTGCTCTATGACCTTTACCCTTATGTGTGGGACCTGAGGAACACAGCTCTGGTGGCAAAAGCCTTCATATGCTGGCTGGGTAAGAACACATGGGTGGATACGGATACAAGGTCAGAACAGGAGAGAATAGAATAGAATATTCTATCTTACATAAAACTAATAAAATAGAGCAGCAGACATGGTGTGTAGTTATTAACCATCATTCAATCGTTAAGCCTCAAACTACAATCCTTGATGTTTTTTTTTAAATTATTCTTACACCAAATTTACCTCATTCAATAAAAATATGATATATAATATTCTTTATATATAACACCATTGATCATTATGAGTTTATTCAATTTAAAGAAATAAATTACACATATTTGTTAGTAAGTTGTTTCTGATTGAAAAATGAAAGTTTCTCATCTATTATGTTATTGAAGTAATTCATATTTTTGCAGTATAGGTGGAGCTGCTCTCACCGACATGCAGGGCTGATGTGTTAAATCAACAAATAAATGCACAATTAAAATAAACAAACTGAAAGATTTTCATTTTATAGATTTTGTGCCATGTTTACTCTGTATTAACTATGCATTTAACAATTTTTTTTTAATAACTGGATTTTAAACTCCCCTCAAAAACTTCCGGCTCATCCTTGTCCCTCTATGTGAATGTTCACAGTAATTATTTAAAACGCTGTGAAATGTAATCGAGCTGTTACCAGATTACTGTGCCTGTGGTGCTCGTTTGTGCAGCTTGCATTTTACCAGCTGAAACACCTGCCGTACGCCGACGGCATTCTTTCGCTCCACACATTTTGCCGTCATACTTGAGTGACACATTTTCTCTTTGTTTCCCTCAGACGGGCGAGTGCTGAATGACGGCTCAAACCTCGCCTCCTGGAGGAACTGCTTCCACTGTGAGCAGGCAGAAATGTTTCTCTCTCTCTCCCTCTCTAACTGTGCAGCTGGTGCAAGTTAAACAGTCGGCTGTCGTTCTTCCAGAAAGATGCTGACGGATACGTGCAGATCATGGCTCACTAAGAACCAATGCGTCACGTTTGCTTTGAAAGTTCAAGAAATATGCATAATGTTCCCATTTGGGTGGTTTTTCAATATGCCGAGGTGTGAAGATGTTAGCGACGAACCTTTGAGAAGCAACTGATGAAGAAATGTGAAGCACTTAGGACAGGAAAGGATAAGACAGTAAATTCAATTCCAAACCAAACCAAGTAGCGTAAAATAATAAAGTAATTCACAATATGACACTCACTGATGTTAAAACAAGCTGTAAAATCATAATGTTTACTTACGTTTTCCAATGACTGCAGCCCTTACAGATAAACCTTTGTGTAATTTCAGAGCTCCTGACCTGTTCTGGTGAATGAGGAACGTTTTTCTCTTGTGTTTTCCAGGGTGTGGGAAATCCACAGGAGCAGAGCTGCTGGGAGTGGACTCAGAGCCATGGGTGTTCAAAGGGGGGGTGTCTGGGGAGGTGCAGGTAGCTTTATTGATTTTTTTTGTTTTTGTCTACTGCCTTATTCTACCTCTTACTTCTTAGTCATTCAGGATTCAAGTTCATTCCTAAATGCTTCCAACCGTTGTGCGTGTTTGTCGTTGTGTGAACAGATGCTCCTCCCGATAGGCAGCAGCGGTGAACTTTTCTCTCATCCCCCTCCTCTCTTTCCTACCTCTCGTCTCTACAACATCAGGCCCTATCACAGCAAAGACAAGGTAGGAGATGAGTTGTTGTTTCCGCTACTGAGAAAGTAAAACTCAGTTAATGTAATAAATATGTTTTCAAAACTTAACTTCAGTTCTGCTACTTTTAGATGTGTCTCTGGTCCAGAACACCTGCTTGTTTGTTGTTTTTTTTAACTCGGGTGTGTTGCAGCAGAGATGCATCTAAAATTTGCAGGACACTGGCTCTTGATGTCTGGAGTTAAAGACCCCCGATCTCAGTTTTGTGTCAAATTTCTGATCAATGGATTGTTATTTATAGAGTTTACATTTTAATCTATAAACTAGATTTGCAATCAATGTGGTTAGTTTTGGTTTTCTGCAAGTAGCCTTCTGTCTGTTTCTTAAACATCATAGACACTTTAACTTTTAGATGTGCTTCATCAAGGCTTTATCAGTCATTCACCCATTCGTACACAGATGGTGGTGAGCCACCACATAGCAGACCCAGCTGCCCTAAGGCAGTCTGATAGGAGCGAGGCCCCCATATAACCTGTGCCATCAGAGGCTCTGACCACCGTTAATAGGAAAGGCGGGTAAAAATGTTTTGCCCAAAATTATTCGCAACCTTCTACAAGGTTCTGCTTTGTTGGAAATACGCAAAGAGAAGCATCTGCATACTAGACTTGCATACCCAGGAGCAGCTCTTTCAGTGCTCTTTGAAGTATTAACCAGGTTGCAAAGGGAAGCATTGTGATTATATTTTGAGCGACGTGTGCTCGTAGGTGGAGCTGTACCGGATGGTCCGCCAGCTTCACCTGAGGACTCAGGGCGGACAGGAGTCCACCGTGGCTCATCCAGATGTCATTGGAGACAGGTTTGTCAGCCTGTTATGAATCTTAAAATTTAAGATTTCCCCCCCCCCCCTTTTTTTTTTTTTTTTTTTTAGTTTGCTTTCTTTACTTGTTTACATTTGCCAGATGCTTTAGGTACACAGATTCGCTGTGTTGTGTATTCAGATTGTGTTCTGCACATCTCGGTTGTAACTAGCGGTGATGTATATGTGCTGCAGTTGTCTTTTTGCCCACCCCCCTCTGCCCTCTTGACAACAACAAATCATTTTCATCTACAAAACTTTTTTTTTTTTTTTTTTTTTTTTTTTTTTTGGACCAACAACCATGCCACATTTAAAGCCTCTTAAATGCCTTGAACTGAACTGGTGTGCAGCATAAACAGAATTAATGCATTTTTTTATAAATAATACCTCTTCTCACCTCTTAGATGTCTTGGCCCATGTCTGGCGCTGAGCCCCGAGTACAGCTTCATCCTGGAAGATGAGCTCGGCATTTGTGGCTGCGTGCTGGGCATCCTAGACGTCCGCTTCTTCGCGAAGCGGTGCCAGGCCAGCTGGATTCCTGCCATGAGAGATAAATACCCACCCAAAGGGAGCAGCACACACTCAAACACACAGGTGAATATGTTCAAAACTGGGCAGAGGAGCTACTTGTTTGTTTCATTTTAGCAAACAGGACGCGTAACACGCAGCATCATGCACACGAATGTTTAGTTATTGGTACCTGCTGTTGCACCATCTGGGTCCATCCTGCCAAAGATTAATTACTCACTATGAAGATGCACAAAAACACATTAATTTTTGGCATTTGAGACGCCTCATGTTAGCATGTTCAAGCATAAGCTGGCCATGCTGCTGAGCAGGGCAGAACATTCATCTGTCGTTACGGTAAAGCACTTTCTACTTAGGTATATTTGTTAAAAGTTGTTGCGTAGCACAAAGTTATAACAGCAGAGAACAAACAATCTCTGGCAACGAATCAATCCACGACTCTGGTGAGCAACAGACACAGTCAGACCGAGACAATCTGTGACTGATTTTTTCTTTTTTTTTTTCTGCTTAATGAGTCATGGTGCGTGCCAACAGTCAAACTTTTGGACGACTGCCATTTTTAAAGCTTACTTATGTTTGAAGACGGGACAAGTTTTCTGTCTGCCTAATGATTTATTGTGAGGTGGCAGAAGGAGTTGGAAAGGCTCTTATAACCTGTTTTATTGCATTCCAGTGTAAGTTAGCGGTAACTCCTTCAAAACTGTTTTCACTTCCCCGTGTTTAGGTTCTGTGTGAACAGAAACAGAAAAATCCTACACTGGATGAATTTCAAAATGAAGCGTTTCGTAGATTTGTAGAGCAGAAAGTCATTGATCAAATGAAATTCAACTACAAGGGACAAAAGTTGTTCTTCCACATGCTAACTTCTGTAAAGTGTTTACTGAAGAGGATTACAACCACTGGACTTTCTTTGAAATTTGATTTTAATCTCAGAACTATGACAAGAAAGTCAAACTTCTTTCAGTGGTCCTCATCCTCTTCCACAGATATTTTGACTGTGCTTCATGTTTCCATCATCTAGAATAAAAGATAATCTGTGGTGTGTCTGCTGTCCTCTGCACAGGACTTGGTGAAACTGATGGAGGAGGACCAGGGCGAGTACCCGGACTCGCTCCTCTACCACTTCCCCTCTCAGCTGCGGCTGGACGCGCTGCCCGAGCTGGTGGACGTCAGCGTCAGCCGGACCCTGCTCACCGCCCTGCTCACTGCGCTCAAGGCCAACGGTAAGATGTCAGTCACATCCAGTTCCTCTCCGGTGTTTGGTAAAACGCGGAAATGCAAACCTCTTTAGATGCACTCACTTCTTTTAAAGCTTTAAGTAACAGCGCGTTGCAAAAGCGTTCATGAAAGTCGAACTTATCGACAAATACAGACTTTAATGGATTTACTGAATAGAGCAAAGCAAAGAGTAGCATAATTGTGAACTGTGGTATGAACTTGTATTCAATCCACCCAAGTCAAGATGCTTTGTAGAGCCACCAACAAATACAGATGCATTTCCTTTGGCATACGTTTCCACCAGCTTTACACATCCAGATGTCAAAATTGCTGCACCGCCTCATTTGATGACTACAGATAAACACGTCACTTTTCATATTTTTCGTGCAATATTAACGTGTGTGTATTCTTTTCCACTGTTTTGTGTCGCGCATCACTTAAAATTCTAGTAAGAATACATTTACATTTTCTATTGCAGCGTTACAGAACACGAAACGGCTTTGTAGGACGTGAATATGTCTCCAGTGTGTGTTACAGATTGCATCCAGTTTTGTTTGACAAACATATTCAGAAGAATGTTTCATTGTGGGTGTTTTTTGTGGGGAGGCTGTCTAAAAGGCAGTTAATTTTAAGTGCCGAGAAAAAGACTGATGGACGTTTCGTGTGTGTGTGTGGGGGGGTGTGTGTGTCCAGGTTCTCAGGGTGTCTTCTGTGAGGTGCAGCCCACAGATCAGCAGAGGCTGGAGTTCTTAACCAAACTGGGCTTCCTGGAGATCCTCAGAGGAGAAGCCAGGAGCAGAGAGGGCGTGGTGCTCGGACGGCTGCTCTGAAAGCCACGTCAAAAAAAACAAAAAAACACTCGCACTCGCCGTCACCTGGTCACACATTTCAGCATCAACATTAATTAGTTCATCAGTTTATCAAAGTGCATGGTTAGGTATAACAAAGGTTATTTTTAGTGACCCCTGATGCTTGTTTTTAACAAAAATCTTGCCATAAATGTCACCTTTTATCGATCAGCTTGAAGCGTCACCCTCCTACACATATAAACATTTTGAATGATAACATAAAGAGAAGGTTTCTTACAATTCCGTTATTGTGCTTGTTCAAAAAAAACCATTGCTCTCTTACTTTGACTAGGACATGTTTCATGTAAGTAGCAGCCCCGTTCAGGAATATTTTTCAAATGGTCAACGTTTTATTTTAAGTTGTTTGGTTTAAAATCTGCCAACATAAAGAAGACGTTCCACCAGAAAACCGAAAGAAAACCAAAGCAAGAAAAATTGTGGACTTTATTTAATTCAGAAAATGGTTGGAATCTGTAAGATTAGAGAGGAAAATGCCACATGGGCACCCTTACTTTAGCTTAATTAGGTCTGTAGGTAGCTTAGACTTGTTTTTACTTACTGATACCAACTACAGCCTGCCTGTCAAGTAACTATCTCAATTTCCTCTTATCTCAAAACGGTAAACTCAACTGAAGCATGAAAGGGGATTTAGGAGCCTTTTGGATGCCTTCAGATTAATGGAATGCATTGCATGTTGTGAAGGTGTAACAGTAAACATGTCACTAAAAACAACAGACTTACATGCATAACGCACAAAAACGGGTGAAAATGTTATAGAAACTCTAGTTTGATAAAAACCTTAATGAAGAGATCAAACAGGCATGAACCACAAGATGTTTGAGCATTTTATAAACTATGAAACGCGTGTTAGGGTTTGACAAATGCTTTCCATCAGGGAAAGCAGCAAGTGTTTTAAATGGAGGCGTAACTCAAAATGTAAGGAATTTTATTAAAGGTATTTTTATTAGATAAAAAGTAAGTTTATTCTTGGAAATGCAGCACCAAACCAGTAATATCCTTAAAAGATTGAGGTGCAGATATGTTGTGGCATTTCTCGACTCTGTGCAGTTTCAACCTGGATGAGCAGAACTGCTTTCCTCAGTTTCATCGAAAAGAAAGTGAGCACAACATTTTCCAAAAAAAAAGAGAAACCTGCTTGTTTAAAACCTGCTTAGCACCAACCTGCAGAAACAGAGCTGGTGATAAATTGACTTCCCAGAGCAATTTTTTTTTCTTTTCTTTTGTTTCTTGCTTTTGATCTGATTTGGATAAGCCTATGTCTCTTTTATTTTATTTTTTTTTTTGAAGAAATAGCTTTGGACATTCAAAACTAATTTCAGCCACTTAATTTAGCTAAAATCCACATTAGTTGATCCCACAGACTGAAGCTACAAGGCTGCTCCGCGTAAGAGTGAAGCAGACTTCATGAGTAATATGTTGTTTACTTTTGATAAATTCTAACAAAAAGAAGCCTTGGTGTTTTATCCTTGACTGTTAGCATCCTGGTAGTTCAGTGGGACATTTAGTGTCAGTACATTTAATAAACTATATTTAAACTGTTAATTTGTAAAAGAAGACATTATAGGCGAGTTATAACCCTTTGTACAGGTAAAGGTTATTTGTTCTGGTTTATTTCGATGCTCAGCAAATTGTAGCAGCAGCCACACAGTTCATGTCAATTCCTAAAGGCAGGATTAAAACAGATTTATCCGTTTGATTTTGTGCTCTGCTTTGTAAATGATGGATTTTTTCCCTCATTTTATCATTATTTTTACCTTGGTAGTTGTTTTTTAATATATATATTTATCCCATTGAAATCATCCGACAACCTCAAGTTCTTTACTATTTTTCTAGATAAGACGAATGTTTACATGCATGAAAAACAAAACCTTGTGTTGCTTTTCTACCAAGCAGGGTTACACGTATACAAACACAAAAACATGCAAAGAGAACTGCAACAGCTGGCACTCACCTGCATTAACACACATGAAGATGAAATATTTGGGAATTGCAGTTGTGAAAAATGTAAGAGGAGGAAATTTTAAATGTATGCATGCTGAAACTCATTAGAAAAACAGAAAATAAAAGCTAAAAACATATAGATAGATATGCACACACTAACACATTTTACTCTTGGTTCTCTTAGTTTTTTTTACAAATACCTTCCATTATTATACATCACTTACATGGCTGACTCATGCTTAAACATAGCCACTCAGTGAAAAGTGTGACATTCAATTGAGGCGGATGCAAGAGTGGGCATGTGAATAATTAAAGTGCGACAGCTGTGTCATCCGTCCTTCATTATAAACCCCAACGAGGCAGAAACGCACCGTTCACACCCTGACACACACACACACACACACACACACACAAAGAAGCACAAACGCACTCAGTTCAACTGAAAGTATGTAGAACAATGAATGTTTTTTTTATTTCTATGTGAACATACACAACTACTTGTGCAAGCATTTATATTTCAACTTTTTTTTTTTATTTACAATTATGTTCGATCAGTAGACTTGGACACTTTTGTACAATTTTCCTTAAAAGTCTCTCGTGAGGTGCTTTGTAATAATAAATGAACAAAGAAGGCGGTGATTGCATAGACAAAAATAAAGCACCAAAACTGAATTGCATGATGTAAAGCAAAAAAAAAAAGCAAAAAAAAAAAAAGAAATAAAAATAATAGATGGTTGTGTCTGTTGCAAGATTTTTATTGCACCTGTAAGGAGGCGGGGACAGTTCTTTTCTTTACTGTGATAATCATTTCAAAATGTCTGTGTAAAGTTAGGAAAGTGTGTTCTAGAAAACGCAATACGTCGACAGATGTGAAAAAAAAAATGTTGCAGTCAACATGAAGCACTGTGAAAAGAGAAGAAAGGAATTAACCACAAGTTGATTTAATGCAATTGTAACAATCATGTCTGTATGAGTATTTAAAGTAACGGTTGCCTTTCAACATCAGGCTTAAGCATCATTTCATTAAAACCATTACAAATTTCAAACTGCTACAGGCTGCCTGCATAGAGGTACATTACACATAAACTTTGTGTTTACAATGAATTTTTAGTGGAGTGCTGTGTAGCACATCTATGCAGGGTAAAAAAAAAACATTGAAAAAATATTACTGCTGATTTCAGTTTGGGTTTTTATTGACAATGATATTCAGGATGTTTCATTTTAAAGATGATGATGCAACTCGTTTTCATGTTTATTAAATGATTTTTTTCCTTCTGACTTGTGATGTCTCTTCTTTATCTCAAGATGAGGAAAAATATTACACAGGAAAACCTACAGAGTTAAAAGATAAACAAAACCAGCAGCTAAGCAAAGAATACAGTTTACAAGATACATAATATCTTGTATCCTGTATCCTAAGAGTCCTGTTGTAATATTTCCTAAGTTTCTTGTCAATGTTAAATTTAGATACTTTAAATAATTACCATTCCAGCATCAGTCTCACAACCATGCACATGATCTAAGTTTTTTTGTTTGTGTTTTATAGTTTTTAATCATTCCATGTTTTTAGTAAGTCTCATAGTATGCGTCGCTGATCCCAAATGTGTACTAGAGTTTTTGCATTAGCCCAACAACAACAACCTTACTTATTGTCATTCTGCGTTATGCAAACGCTCAGTCTCCATAGACGAAATTTGACTCGCATAAACAAACTTCAACAGCAGGTCAGTTTTTTTTTTTTTTTTTTTTTTTTTTGAATAATTTAGCTCATTATTTTTTTGAGCACTTTGAGACACTCAATGAATGGATGGTCATTGTAATTTTTACTAAGTGTAGATCAAGAGAATTATAAGCAATACACAAGCTTTATGGAGGTAACAGAACTTTGTTTCACAAAAAGTGTTTCACTTGTTCAAATTTAGATCCCCAAAAAGTTTTTTTAAGTTGTTGACATCTATGAGAAAAAGGACAACTTTGTTAACAGCCCGTCAGCATTCTTCCCATTTCTGAAAGTAAATAAATGAAGAATATCAAAAGTTAACTGATTTCACAAATACTCTTAACCCAGATGGATTATTCCTAAAGAGCTGCTTTGCATACTCCAACCTATGAATGATGAATCCAGACTTTTAAGTCAAGTAAATATGGTTTAAAACATTTGCTGTATTGCCAGCATATGGGCAGTTTTAAAAGCAGCTTTGGAATAAAATTCAGTATAAAAACTCACAGCTAACATCATTTTTAAGATTAAAACTACCTGTGTTTGGTCCAGTTGGTGTAACTTTCCGCTACACATCCGTGCTCTCCCTCTCTTCCGTGTTTCCGGCTTCCCATTGGCTTCTCGAGCGCAGGTTGCGTTCAGGGGCCTTGACTTGACCAATGGGGATGCGGTATGCTGCTAAGGTTCCGGTCAACAGCAACATAAGTGTGGCTATTAGAGTAGCTGCCCAACTGCATGCTGGGAGACCCACCTACGCAGAGGGAAGGAATGAGGCGTATGAATGGCACCTTTAGTAGCTTAAGTCAAATTTTACACAGGTTTAGTTGTCCAAGAAAGAAAGCTGCAAATTCATTAAGAAAGAAAGGCAGAAAGAAACAAAGACCAAATTCTCATTCTTACAGTTCCTAGCAGGTTGCTCAGGGCGATGTCTGAGTACGCAGAGAGAAACGCTGCGAACAAAAAAAGATTAGTTCATACAGAATATTCTCCACACATTCAGTGCACAGCAGCAGCTGGCTGCTCTCTTTCCTGATAGCAGTCAAGGCACCAATTAAGGCCAATTTACATAATGGGAGGTAATTAGCTGCATGTCAAGCTGGTCAGTGTTACTATCTGTGATGTCTGTGATTGCTACAGTTTGCTCTTTTCCTCTCAGATATGAGAGGAAAATGATACACTGATGAATGACATCAAACTTTGGTTTCATAACAGAAAACATACTGTACTTAAATAATGCAAAGGATTAGAAATGCAATTTACAATGTTGGAAAAAAAGAAATGCTCAAAATAAAAAAAGATATATTAAAGGTACTCAGTCTGAGTGGGTTATTATACTTCTAAAAGCAATTTAAATTACTGAAAGTGTACAAAAGTTTTTTTTTTTTTTTTACAATTTTAGTTTGACTTGAACTTCAATAAGCCTCTTAGTTCTATCAATATTTTATTTTCCTCTTGATTTAAGGAATATAAGTTATTTTTGGTTAATTTCATTGCATTTTTAGTGTGATATTAATATTCCTTTATTGTTATAATTATGGTTTTTATCACTGTCTTACTCATATATATAATTTTCCTAATTTCATATTTTATAAGTTTTGCATTATGTTTGAATTGCATAATTTTTAGCATTTAAATTGCTGTTGATTCATAATTGCCAATGTTGTTTCCTTATTTAATACCCTTTCCTTACTATTATAATATTATTACCTAGTCGAGCTTTTGATTCTTTGTCGTCACTTCAGCTTCTGTAAAGCACTTTGTTACATTTTATTCTACCAAAAGTTCTCCATGAAGACCAAGTTAATTATTAATTGATGCAGTGGCGAACAATTTTTAAAAATAATTTTTAAAAATAAGGCTAGCCCATGTGGTCATATCCAGTAAACAAACGACTTTAGCTCTGATTGTGAATAAGTTAATGTTGGTTTTTATAGTGAGTTGTCAAAAAACAGGATGAATTGACGGATAGCTGCAGCTCTTCTTGAAGTCCGTGCAGTCATGACGTTACGCCTGATTGTGTTACTGTAGATTTTGTAAATGTTTGTCACCACTAGCGATGGCAAAGAGGTGGGTCCTCCAGCTGAAGGTAAAGAAGAGTCCTCCAACGGCCATGCAGCCCAAAGCACCGTTGAAGCCCGACAGGCCGGAGTAAAGCGAGTCATGACGCACTGCCATGGATAAACCTGCGACACACAAACACACACAGACACACAAGATGTGATCACATAAACCCATGAAAATAGCCAGGTACACACTCAATCAGGACTTCTTGAAATAGCAGTACCATTCTTGTCCATGTGGTGGGGCTAGACACATACTTTTGTGCTTCCACCCCTTTGTGCAACCCTTAATTTGCATGTAACCTAATAGGGAAATTTTTCCATTTGTGCGTCAACACACCTAAAATGGGGACCAATGTTATAAGTGCTAAAATCCTCAGAACACGTCGTTAAACTAATTAGCCTCGCTTTGCTGTGATGAGAAAACCTGGATGTGATGAATCACTTGGAAAACTGCTGCTAATTAGACAGGCCATCTGTATTCAGCTTTTAATCATGTAAAGGGGGTGACTTTAAGCGAAAGTCATATTAAAATATTGGATTTTTATTTCACTTTAGTCATGCTTGCATCACCCAGTCTGTTGGGGGCTGCTGCAGGCTTCTGGTGATGCAGGTAAACCGTACCTCTGACTCATACCCACAGCAGACAAACTATAAACTGATTACACAGGGGTCATTCCGGCCCAAGTAGATCTCAGCTCAGCCAGATGCTCTGACATTTTGTCCCATGGCCTCCAGCATCAGCAGCTGCAGTGTGACTCTCTCACCCACACGCAGAGGGAGATAATAAAATCACACTGTGGCGAGGAAGAATAGGGCGGCGGAGTTCAGCAGCACAGGTTAATATGTTTCACCTTTAGATTAGCCACCATGCTGATCAAATCTGGAACGATGAACTGAACAATCAGACAGGTAGGCATAATTTGATTAACTTACAAGGCAGGCAAAAACTTCAAAAATAGAGCAGCAGCATTAAAAATGATCCACTCAAGCGGTTCCACTTTGAGTTTCTCAACAAGAGGCCTAGAATCCAACGGGTTTCCTAGGACTGCACTCTTCTAGACGTTTCTCAAAATCTGCTGTAGCCACGCCCCCAAATTTTACTTGTTTTTATTTTTTTTAGTTTCTCATGTTCCTCTTTCTTACTGTTGCTGCCAATTGCTTGTTGATACTAGCAAAACTACAGAATTACCACCCCTAACAGTTTTAATAGATTAAATGAAATAACTTCATGTGTTTTATCCTGGCAGCTCAGGCAAAGGTGGGTGTTGTTCTTGTTATTCTGTCTGAATAATTGACACACCTCCTGTAACACTGGTGGGTGTTAATCTTCATAAATCCTACAGGGCAATAGTTAGACCGGAACAAAACATCTATCAAGAGCCATGATAACAACAAACCAAAACTCTGAGCCCTTATTTTGCCAACACTCATAATTGTGAAGATGGTAAAGAAAGTAAAACTTGTCCAAGGCTCACTGCTGGAGAACTGGAGCGAGGAAGATGCTCCTGCGATTAAAAATAAGCCTCCTAAGGCTTTCTACATGTTTACCAGGGTTTCAGAACTGATGATATAAAAGACAACTGTTGTTAAAATAACTATTTACAATACCCAAATTCTGTAGCATACTAATTCTGAACAAACACACAGGAGACCAAATCAAGTGCTAAGATCAGAAAACTCAGCTGACAAATTGGACGGTCTTACCAAAATTGGACAAAAGCAGGTTGAAAAGTGTTGCTTGGTCTCTGGGAATCTTGTGACATTTAGAGGATATGATCAAATTTAGCTTCAGCAGCACCAAAGCAAGTTTCCATCAGGCCTTTTCTCAACATTTCAGTTTGTTGGAGGCGGTATAACAGTCCCATAGAGGTTTTCTTGGCACACTTTGATTACTGATTGGTCGATACTTTGCTAATGCAAAATATACTTTGCATTAGCAAATACTTTATGGTGGCAATGTATTACCTAAATATTGCTGTTGACCGTATTGTTTCCCTTTATGACCATGTTTATCACCCATCTTCTGATAGCTCCATCCAGCAGCACAATGCACAATGCTGTGAAGCACAAATTCTTTAATAGATTACCTTTGGTACCTTTCACATCACTGATTATGCAGACAACAAATCTGCTGCAACTGTGCAACTCTATCATGTCAACATGGATAAAATCTCAGAGGAATGTTTCTGACGAGTTGTTGAATCTATTTCACAAAGAATTAAGGCAATAGTGAAGGCAAAGCTGTATAAAACCCAGCATTAACAATAGGTGCCTAAATAAGTGGTCAAACAGTGTATATGAGAGTACATAGAAAAACATGAATCTGAATCTTTCATCCTCTCACTGCCTAATCAGCACTGGTCCATTAATCACATTATAGGACAAATTGCATTTTGAACAAATGTGGGCTGCAAAGTAATAAAGCGAATAAAACAGCCACATCCTGAGGGGTTATACACGCCAGTACCAACTTTCCTGGCGATCCATCACAGTGTTGTTAGCAACAAACAGGAATCTCATCACGGCACCTTGGAAATGTCAACCAAACGCTGCAGTCATTAAGATTTATCAAGTGAGGACGATGAATGTGAGAAATGCCACTAGCAGCCTCTCCAATTATTACTGATATATTTCAGCTGAACAGAAGAGCAGTGGCTCGTCTACAAATTAAACTCCAGCTGATTCAGATCGTCCTGGCAAGTAAGTTTCTAGATCAAAATGAAGCGCTTCAACAAAGCGAATTTAAACAAACGCAGATTTAAAACGATACGTTTTTAGCTGGATTTTAAAGGAGTCTGCTTATCTGCTTTCTTTAAGTTTTAGTTTTGTATTGGGGCAATCAGCAGGTCTGATTATAGGGATGTATGGATGTAAAAGTTCTGAGGTGTAAGTTGGTGTTGATTGGTTTTATGTTGGCTCTCCAAAACAAAACCAATATCTTGTACCATGCAATGGACACAATCTGTCTACCGAGAAGGTGGTCACTTAAAGATGCTGGCTGTTGTGTTGTTGTTGTTTTTTTTTAGTTAATGAAAAACACTAAATTCTGGCTCCATGCTTCTCACGTCTCCAGCTGCTGCTTGCTGACCAGGGTGCCTGCAGCAGGAACTGCATTTTGAACCTCCTGAGTAACCACAAGATCATAAATAATTCAAACTGTCAGACTATCTAAAGGAAGGACCATTTAATACCCCAACTACTATGCTTCCTACTTTGGTAGCTTTCTCTCTTTCTTAATTATATACTCATTGGTGTTCCCAGTTGTAAATCTCGTGTGATGAAAAAGCCTTTTAAAAGCCATTACAACTCTGAAATGCTCGGCCAGGCATGCTGAGCACAGATAAGGGAGGAAAAAAAATATTCTGGACTACTTCACATCCTTCCTGTGTGCAAGGAAGCTGCAGGATTTTTCAGAGTAATATGGAGTTTGGTAGCTGCCCTGTTATAGAAAACAACCTTCAGCCAGCACTGTGATCGATTTACTCTTTACACTGTAATAGGAGCTGCAGTTCAGCAGTCATGTTCAGAAGCAGACGGACCACGCCCCGGTGCTGCCTCCTCGTGATGTCTGCTGGTCCACTCTGCCATGATGAGCTCTCCTACAGCTGTTTGCTCATTTCTTCACATCCACAGACGCCTCTGCACTCCGCTCTTAATCCTCTTCATTTGCTTCCATTCACTGTTTGACCCTTTCAATTCTTGCTCTGTTTTTTATGCTCCTTACCAACAAAATGGTAATATGGGAAGAGAGCAGCAAAGGATGCTGTAATTTTCACAGTTTGGACTGTTATTGGGTGTGTGTGTGCGTGTGTGTGCGTGTATGTGTGCGTGTTGTATTTTCTAACAGGATGAGTCAGACTGCTTCTATCGTATCAAATGCTAACGTCTACTCTGTTTTGGTTTTTTTTTACCTTCACTCCACCTGCCTCCATCCACTGACTAGAGGACAGTGAGACAGGCACAAAATAAACTAAAATAAATCACAGATGTACATATCACTGTTATCCAGGGCTGCTGAGAGGAAACTTTCTGTTGACCCTTCTTGTTTATTCAATTGATGAATCAACATCTGCAGTTTGTATCGCATTTCTGGAAAGTAAATATTTGTATGTTCATCTCGGTTATTTCGGTTTCCCGGCGCGGAACTGCTTTAAAAAATACTCAAATTTTGCAACAGGGTTAAGGTAGGGCTTTAACAACTGATGCAAAACTTGTTTTGATATTTACCTTTTTTCCACCTTGACATCATTATTCTATGCAGTTGTGTTGACGTTTAAACTGTTAAGCTGTTTGTGGCGGGGAAAGAATGTGGGAACGTGGAACAGTATAGGATTAAATGAATAAATAGATTTCACAAGGCCCATCATGACCCTTATGTTAGAAGATGTTTGTTTTGTCCACAGGTGAAAAAAAGTAACTTGAATTTGAAGGTGGACTTTGTGCTAGCTTGCCAGCAAATTAATATCATTCTAATATTGTATATTTCCTCCATTAATTACCAATGCAGCCACCAAACATCCACATCTAGAAATGGAGAAAAATCTGAATCCGAATTCCAGCTCTCATCGTTTCTCTTCTTTCAGATTCTGATCCCAACACAACACATTTGGTTACTTGTTTTCCTACGAAGTGGTCGTAGCAGGTGATGTGCAGGCGTTGGCCTACATTCGGCCCCTGCTCCTCTCCTCTGGAAACCCCTCGTGGGAACAGCATACGCCACCGTGTTTGAGTGGCAGCTCTAAATATGGCCTCGAACTCTGTCCCTGCTGAGTTTAATGCTCCTCTCTTTCCTTTGAGCTCAGACGTACTAACACAGTTTGTTCCTCTCTTGTTTTTACACAGAACCTTTATTAGAAAAGTGCTATTATAGAGAGTTGCCTAATTGGCTCCCAGGTGTCATTATCAAGAGAATTGTGGTTATTATTGTCTTTGTACACCTACCTAGCTTTAATGACAACCACCGACTTTGAAGTCAAATGATTGCGATATATACAATGTGATAAAGTATTTGGCTTCTTAAAGATTTTTTTTTTTTTCAGTTTTTGGACTTTTGTTGAGCTTAATTCCACAAAATATTTTTCAATTTGATGTGTGATGACTTTGAATTTGTATCCAGACCA